CTAGAGGAGATCAACCCTGGCTGCTCTTTAGAAGGCCGGATCCTGAAGAGGAAACTCAAAGGCTTTGGCCACCTAATGAGAAGGAAGAAGAGCCTCATGCTGGGAAGGATGGAGGGCAAAAGAAGAAGAAGGGGATGGCAGAGAAGGAGGTGTTTGGATAGAGTCACTGAAGCAGTCAATGGACTCCAGGGGATGGGAGAGGACAGGAAGGCCTGGAGGAACGTGGTCCATGGGGTCACGATGGGCCAGACATGACTTTGCAACTAACAACAAGAAAACTGTTTATCTCCCAAACATTGACTTTTCCCACTCAACAGACCCAATTAACAGCCCTTTACAGAGTCTGCTTGCAGGAGGAAGTGCGGAAGGAAGTCCATCTTCGTAGGTGTGGCCCTCAATGTCCCTGGCACAACACTCCAATGTGGACATTCAGGCTGGCCAACGACAACCCTTCCAGGATGGGAGAGTCAAGAGGGAACACAGTGGTGCTTTCATCATTGGAATGCCGCTTACATTGGCACTTCAAAGTTTAGCAATTATTCTGGTTTTGTTATTCTGGTTTGGTGCTTTTCCGTTGCGGTTGTTATTGTTGTTTGTAATTCTGCTTCCCCAAAACTCTCCAGACTCAGAGTGGAAAATTTAAGTTAATTGAACGTAAAAGAAACACCACCAACCACAGCCTGAACTTCTCACTTCCTGTCCAACCCAAGGAAAGGTGTCCTTTGCACCTGGCTGGCCAACAGGGACAATCTAAGAGAAACATCAGGGTGTGGGGACGCGTGTGAGGTGCAACTCCTGCCTGTCGGCCCATCCTGCCTGTGCTGCATTTGGGCACAAGACGCAACTTGCACGATCTCTCTGCTTGGTTCCCAGTCTGTGGACGGGAAGGTGGAGTCCACAAAGACGATTTACAAGTTTGCCAGAATTAGATTTTCTAATTACAACACCAAGGATCTGCGGGCTGCGTTCTTCACCCACCAGGATAAACCATATTCAGCAGCTGAAATGAAGGGCTGCAACTCCTTCCATATTCCAGGGAGATTTGGATTTTCCAAGGCAATCTTGTCGGCTAAAGGAATCAGAAGAGAGCTGGAAAGGGACCTTGGAGGTCTTCCAGTCCAACCCCTTGCTCAGGCAGGAAACCTTATATCCATAATGGCCAACCTGTGGCATGCGTGTCACAGGTGGCAGCCGGAGGCCTCTCTGAGGCACGCGAGCCGTCGTCCAGCTCAGCGCAAGCGTGTGCCTCCTGCCAGCCAGCTGATTTCCACGCATGCAGGAGATGCGCATGCATACAGGGATGGGGTGGGGGGTCATGTGCGCATGTGTGTGAGGGGGGAGCACGGGACTGCAGTGCCCCCCTGAGCCCTGTTTTTGGTCCCAGGAGGCTCCAGGGAGACCTGCTAGGCCCAAAACAGGGGCTCACTCCGTTACGCAGCGCTAGGGATTCGAACTGCCGAACTGCCAACCTTTCTGATTGACAAGCTCAGCGTCTTAGCCGCTGAGCCACCACGTCCCGAGATATAATTTGTATACCCACCACCAATTTTGCAATCTCGCTACCTTTAAATTAATGCAATATCTTTCTGGGAACATTGAATCACAAGTGTGCCAGTTGCGCTGTGGCACAGATTATCCCCACTGGTGCCAGGCTTAAAATAGTTTCCATCCGGCCTCATCTAGATAAGGGGCGGCCAATTAATTTCGCACTGAAAGGGTTTCGTCTCAAATGGGCAGGGATCCTTCAGCCGATTCTGGCTTCTCCTTTATATTCCGTATGGGGTGAAAAGCCAATGAGGCCACAGACAGACGCTTTTAGAAATATGAGGGGCTCCCTTCTCTTGCTTCCTTTTCCCCCCATTAACATTTTTATGGGGCTATAAAGTAATGTAAAATACAAAATGCAAAGTAAATGGGGAAGCCGTGGGGAGGAAAGGGGGAAGGAGAGGCAAGGAAAGGTAATTGGGGAGGGGGGGGGGAGAAGCACTGACTTCCAACTCTCTCCGATGGAGTAAAATGAGGCATTAACATCCAATGACAATTTTTGCTTTTCAGAATAATATGAACAAGCTATTTCTATATGAGCTTGACTGTTTTCTTGCAGACGTTTCATTACCACGCTAGGTAACATCATCAGTGCTACAAGATAGTGGGGTTTGCTGAATGGAAGAGGAGGAGAATGGGAGGAGGAGGAGGAAGAAGAAGAGGAGGAGGAGGAGGAAGATGACTGTGGGGTCCTTGGTGCTGTCTGAGCTTGGCTCTTTTCTTGCAGACGTTTCATTACCAAGCTAGGTAACATCCTCAATGCTATCATTTGCCTCCCTTCAACCACTCCTCAAAATTGTAAAGAAGAAGCTCTGATCTACGTATTTCAGTGGGAATAAATTCTTCTGGCAGTATTCTAAAAAGATGCTCGCAACCAATATCAACGTATCCATCTCCGGCAGAGTCAGCAGCTATCTCTCTCTCATTAAAGGAATGGGATTGTTTTCCAAAACCAAACAACGGGAGCCGAAGCATCCTCACAACAGCCCCGTGACCCTGGAAACGATGCGGCTGCTCCACACTGAAACCAAAGCATTGTATTTCCGTGGCAACTGGATGGGTTGCTTGGTTCAAAGGAAGGATTGTGTTCATTATTCCCATTATACCCACTAGGCTTCTTCATAACTAATTAAAATGACAGGATGCTGCCAATAGATCCCTCCTACGCGGAGAGAAAGAGCAGAGATTCGGTCTAATCACTGCTTTATATTTCACTTCCCCCCCCCCCCCCCCCCCCAACGGCCAAACTTAGTAGATCCTAGGCATAGGATAGGATGGGATATTGGAATGAAGAATAGAATGGAATGGAAGATAGAAAGAACAGAATAGAATAGTAGAATATAGAATAGCACAGAATATAGAATATAGAATGGAGTCTAGAATAGAATATAGGATAGAATATTGAATAGAATGTAGAATAGGACAGAATACAGAATATAGAATGGAATATAGAATGGAGTCTAGAATAGCACGGAATATAGGATAGAATAATAACTTTATTGCCACTTTGAATGTAGACTAATCAGCATACATTGAAGTGAAATCTCATTGCAAAGAGCTGTCAAAGGGTCACCGCCTCCAATGTACACTACATAATATAACAGAATAAATAAATAAATACAGATAAATGCAGACTCTAGTTCAAATATAAGCATCATCAAAGAAAAAAGGAGGACAGTTTCAACTTGCTGACCTCCAAAATGTGTTGGATTTCACATACAGGTTTTCCTGTGTGAGGTTCCAAGGCTCCTCCGTGGAGGAGTTTATTGGCTAATATTCGAAAGGAAAACTTCTTTGAAAATAGTGACAACTTCTTCCCGAATTTATGGCAGGAAGCTGGGAAAGGTTGAGGGAAAGAGGAACTTGGATCCGTCAAAAGCAGCCGAGGAGAGGATTCTCCAAGGGCCGCCATAGCCGGCTGGGGAATTCTGGGAAGCCCAAAAGTCTTTAAAGTTGCCACAGGTGGAGAAACCTGGCCTAGAAGGCACCTCCAGGCTGCTTCTTAGGAAACGGCCAATCCACCCACAAGGGCCCCATCCCATCTGGAGGGTGGCAGCTTCCTTGTTGAGCAAATCTTTAACCCTCTTGGGGAAGAACCTTGGAGGCCTCCGGGGCCCTCGGGAGATAGGAGAAATCACGCGATTCAGAATGATCCCTCTGGCACCTTTGCTCTCTGCCTTATCACTTGTGCCACTGCAGTGCAACAGATCCAAAGTCCAGTGAAGTACCTGGAACCACACCCCAGGAAGTGTCCAAGGGCAAAAAGAAGAAAGCAGGGGATCGTGACGCTGAAGACCACACGCCAGGGAGGCTCAACCTTTTCGCTGCCGAGGGCCGAAACCGGAGTGCCAGAACTCAGAAGAGCTGGCCGGGGCAGATGTGCGCGATGGAACCCAATAAAGCAGCTGGCGATGGCAC